ATAAAGCTGTAGTGATAATATTAATATCAGAAAGTATATTTCAGAACAAAAAATATTATCAGGTATAAAGAAGGTCATTTCATAATGATAAGTGGGTTAATTTATCAAAGAGGGCTTCCAAGAAAAAATATCTGAGATGTCTAAAGTAAAATTACAGTGATAGGAGAAAGAGACAGAACAGTCAGCCTGTTAATAGCTGTGGACTAGCTGTAACAAAAGACTGCTTACATCCCTGTATATCTTTTGAATTTAGGATTAATTTCCAAGTGGTTATTTCTGTGATTATCCAAAAAAAAAAAAAAAGGAATAGCTGGGTGCTGTCAAATCCCAGGAGCCTTCATTTCTTATTTGCACATGCACTTTAAGGACTCTGCTATGCTCTTCCCAAAACTAGCTCCTCTTTACCTTCTCCTATCCCTTTCGTCTATGGCCAATGTAAATTCTTTCAGAACAGCTTACATCTTTCTCTCTACTACCTGATGTATAAAAACACTTGCAAAACTCCTGGATGTTGAACATGTCTTTCCTATTTAGCCATGTTGCTGGTAGTTTAGACTCTGCACCCCAAGACTGGTCATCTTCTCCTTCTTTTTGGCTAGGAGTGGCTTAATAAACCCTTTCTTTTCAGAAGACTTTCAGTCATGGAAGTTAAAAATTTTTGTTTAACAGGACACAACAATCTTCAATGTTTATGTACCTAATAACAGAACTTCAAAATGCCTGAAGTGAAAACTAAAGAACTGCAAGGAGAAATAAACAAATTTACAACTATAGTTAGAGATTTCAGTATACTCCCCTTTCAATGCTTGATAGAACAAGAAAGCAGAACATTTGAAAGGATATAGTAGGCGGACATGAACAACACTATCAAGCAACTTGACCTAATTGACAATTATAGACGACTCCATGTGACAACAGCAGATTATACATTCTTTTCAAGTGGACACAGAACAGTCACCAACATAGACAGTATTCTGGGCTATGAAACAAGTTTCAAAAACTTCAAAAGCATTCAAATATCAACATACTTTTTATGTTCTGACCACATGATATTAAATTAGAGGTCAGTAATAGAGCAATCTCTAGAAAATTCCCAAATATTTGGAAACAAAATCACATACCTCTAATTTTATTATGATCTTGATGTGTGGGCGGCGGTGTCTCAGCTATAATCTAGGTTATAATCAAAATTGGCTAACTGGCATAGAAGAAAGAAAAATTCTAGAAACTTGGTTTTCCAGTGTAGAGAGGAAATACAGGTAATTGCTTAAAAATTAAGTTTAGAGTTAAGGAGGAGCAGTCCTTTGGAGCTCTTCCCAGTCTCCCAGTCACCTGATTCCCAGGAGCAGAGACTCTTGGAGATGTTAATAATTTTGCAAACACATTAATGGGTCTACATGGGGCCAATTATTCTGACTTCCTTGCCTGCCTCCTAAACCCTCATCAATAAATATATCATCCTCCCCAGCGGTGAGCTGTTAGGCTGCCCAAGGGAAAAGTTGACTCTGGCATGTCAGAGTGGGATCAGTTGTGAAGACCTTGCTGGAGTGGGGCTGCCTCACTGCCCTCACCATGTGAAAGGTTAAAGTCGGTAGCAGGCTCTGATTCCCAGACTTGTCTTTATCATTTTTCTACTGAAGGCTTGTGTTCTGACCTCCAGAGCAATAGCTCTGCCATCAAGTGACATGCTGTGCTGGAATTAAGGGGCTCGCTTAAGAACCTCTCAAGCAGCTTTGAAGGAGGAAATTCTCTGGTGTTTGATATGTTTGATTATCATCAGGTAATACTCAGGTTTCTGGGAATTGTTAACTACTGATACATATTCTGGAAGGAAGAAAATGTCCAGGACAACCATGCTACCCACAGACCCTTTTTTCCAGGACATGAGGAATTTTAACAAGTTTTTAAAAAGGATATTACATGAGGCTCAGGAAGATATGGTTGCAGGGGTATCCAACCTTTTGGCGTCTCTGGACCACACTGGAAGAAGAAGAGTTGTCCTGGGCCACACATTAAATACACAAACAATAACGAAAACTGATGAGCAGAAAAAAAGGTTTTAAGTAAATTTATGATTTTGTGTTGGGCTGCATTCATAGCCATCCTGGGCTGCATACGGCCTGCAGGCTGTGAGTTGGACACTCCTGAGCCTCATTGAGAAATTTTAATGTTTCTCAAACTGTGGGTCAGAGACCACCTGCTTCAGAATCACCAGATTTTGGGGGCCCAACTATAAATATATTGGAATAAATAGGTCTAACTTCTTCTCCAGTGAACCTTGGGCAAGGCACTTTAATGTTTAAGAACTACTGTTTGGGATCATTGTTGTTCAGGGACACTGGCTTCCTTCTCTCCATCTGTTCTCCTGCTCTGCTATCCCAGGAAAGAGGCAAAGAGATGTAAATAAAGTCTACTCCTCCTTCATCTACAGGTCACTTACGTTTTTTGTGTTTTTTTTTTTTTGCTTTTTTTTTTTTTAGAGAGGGGAAAGGAGGGAAAAAGAGAGGGAGAGAAGCATTGATCGGTTGCCCTCCTTGCTTTCCTTATGTGCCCCAACCAGACGGAACCTGCAACCCAGGCATGTGCCCTGGCTGGGAATCGAACTGGCGACCTCTCAGCTTGTGGGAAGACACCCAACCATCTAAGCCACACCAGCCCAGACAATTACCCTTATGTTTTTTTCCCTAGTTTTCATTCAGAAGTACAAATTGCAGCCAACAGAAATAGCAGTTATTCCAGTGTCTTTTGAAAACCTGTCAGAGATGTCAATTTCTCTACAATGTCTTGCTTGACTAACTCTATATTCTGAATAATTTTGAATTTAGTGCAGACTGGAGAAGAGAAATGAGAGAGAAAAAGGGGAGGGAAAGGGAGATATTGGATTTAAAGCAAATAATAAATCTGGAGGATGTGATCAGCTATCCACTGTATAACCCACCACCCTCCACTGTCCCATCTCACCTCCCTACCTAATCTACCCCCCTGGAGCAGTAGCCACATGCCTTGTTTTCTCTGCTTTTATCCACTCGTTTAATTTAGATATTTACAGACCAATTACCTACACTGAAACAGCCTATTGTGGAAAGAAGGCAGAAAACTGGGTCTCAAGAAGTTTTACTCCGCTCTTAACAATTTCTCAACTACCTTGAAGTTCCTGTAAGTTATTCCATACTGGAATTTTTACAGTCATTTCTTTGAAATCCTTATAATTTGCCTTGAAGCTGAATTGGCTTTTTACCCTAGTGGGGCCAATGACATTTGCAACCCAAATCTAGAACTGCCATATCCCTGCAATAATGGGGTTTATTATAATTTAGCAGCTGTTAGGTTAAGAATGACAATGTTACAGCTCAGAAACATCAAATACATCAGAGTTATGCTCCATATGTTCTAAAAGAAGTTACCAACATCCTGGGTTCAAATTTGCACCCTTATTTGGAGTGTCTCTATTTTATTAGGGCACATCACCTTTCCGGGCATTACAAAACTTTATATCTTGTCACCATTCACAGGGTTCTATCAAGCCACAGTGCCTTTGTTACCTACTTGACAGCTAAACTTAGTTATCTATGTGACCATCTCTTTCCCTGCACTGGCTGTTTGCTGATTCTGGAAAATCCACCAGTGGGACTATCATCTTCGTCTGTCCAATATAGCTCTTTCTTCTCTGGAATCCTCCCAATGCCTTTCACAAGTGTGCTATTTACTCACGTGAGAGTAGGAGGAGGGGGCTGACTAGTGTCCTTTTCCATCCTAATCCAGTCACATCTGTTGACTTCAAAGTCTTCACAATTGAGGGTCTGCACCAAAGAGCACCCGACTCTAGAACCCAGAGGGAATTAAGGAACATCGGTGGCAGAGCAGCTAATGGAACAGAGGAGAGTGTGGTATTTAGGTGATGCAACCACAACCTTGTTCATTCTCTGGACAGAAAAGGCATTTTTACAAAGCACCAGTCCTGGGGTGGGGCTGTTCCTTCTCCTGTGGCCTTTGCTTCTCCTGTGGCTGCAATGGCCCTTGAGTTCCGTGTTATTCTAGTTACTGGACATGACTGTGCCTTTATGAAGAAAGGTTGGCTGATGCTCTTGAGTGCAGCATCTCAGTTCGTTCTTTACAGCTATACCTCATCCTCATCCCCAGCCTTCATCATCTTTAGAACCTACAATACCTCTTAGTTTGTGGGACCTCTCAGTTTGTGGGAAGACACCCAACCAACTAAGCCACGCCAGCCCAGACAATCACCCTTATGTTTTTTTCCCTAGTTTTCATTCAGAAGTACAAATTGCAACCAACAAAAATAGCAGTTATTCCAGTGTCTTTTTTTATGCCAAGATCACAGAGGCAGTTTTATCACTGAGCCAATGAACCACCTTCAGTTCCTCTAGAACCTTCTGAAGGCCCTGTTTAGTCACTCTTGCTTAGTACCGTGTCTCTGTCCATATTGTTTGGTCATAAGTTGCTTGCCTAATTTTGTTGTTGTTTCATTTTATTGATCATGTTTAGGTATGCATTGTTAGGTCTGTCTCCCCAATGAGAATAATCAAAGCTAATATATTTTGGAATTTTTCCATGTGACAGGCTTTAAGTCATTACGTGGATCAGCTCATTGAATTTTTACAGCAATCTTTTGAGATTAAAGCTATTATTCTTATTTTACAGTTGAGAAAACCGAAACTCAGAAAGGTCAAATAACATTCCCAAGATAACACAGATAGTTCGTGGTGAGGTCCTGGCTTGGAACCTTGGCAGTCTGACACCGAGCCTGTGTGTTTAAACATGAAATATACCATCTCTAAAATATAAGCTTCCTGAAGTCAGACACTCTTGAATTCCTGATGGGGGAACACAGAGCTAAGCATATGGAAGGCTGTCAATATATATTTGGTAAGTAATTGTTTCATTATTTAGAAATTGTTAAGATCCCCAGGAGACCAAATTGTGTCTATCTCTTTTATATCTTTCATTGCTGCTCAAGTAATCCTTCCTAACTAATCTTCTCTATGACAGGATTTCATCTACAAAAACAGCCTTGCTCAGTAAGACCGATCTTCAGACAGCTGTCAGCAGGGCAGAACTAAAGCCAGTGACACTCCTTGGGTGTGCACCTCATTTCTGGTGGTCTTCCCTTTCCACATCCCAGAGCAGTTGAGAAAGATGGAAGGGGTGAACCTCAGCCAACGGACTGAGTTTGAGCTCTTGGGCCTCACTAGTGACCCCCAGCTGCAGACACTGCTCTTCGTGGTGTTCCTGGGTATGTACATCATCACGCTTTTGGGAAATCTGATCATGTTCCTCCTGATCCACGTGAGTGCCACCCTGAATACACCGATGTACGCCCTCCTAAAAAGCCTGTCCTTTTTGGACTTCTGCTACTCCTCCACAGTTGTCCCCCAGACACTGGTAAACCTCTTGGCCAAGAGGAAGGTGATCTCCTATCTTGGCTGCATGGCTCAGATGTTTTTCTACGCAGGTTTCGCCACTAGTGAGTGCTATCTCACTGCCGCCATGGCCTATGACCGCTATGCTGCAATTCATAACCCCCTGCTCTACGCTGTCACTATGTCTCCTAAGGTCTGTGCCTCTCTGATTGCAGGCTCCTACAGTGCAGGATTCCTCAATTCTCTTATCCACACAAGCTGTATCTTCAGTCTGAAATTCTGTGGTGCTCATGTGGTCACTCATTTCTTCTGTGATGGACCACCCATCCTGTCTCTGTCTTGTGTGAACACCTCATTGTGTGAGATCTTGCTTTTTATTTTTGCTGGTTTCAACCTTTTTAGCTGCATCCTCACCATCTTGGTTTCTTACCTCTTAATTCTCATCACCATCTTGAGAATGAACTCAACCCAGAGCAGATTCAAGGCCTTTTCCACTTGTGCTTCCCACCTCACTCTTGTGTGCCTCTTCTATGGCACAACACTTTTTATGTACCTACGCCCCAGGTCCAGCTACTCCTTGGCTCAAGACCAAAGGGTTGCAGTGATCTACACGGTGGTGATCCCAATGCTGAACCCCCTTATCTACTCTTTGAGAAACAAGGATGTGAAGGAAGCTTTAAGGAAGGTTTGGGGCAGGAAAATAATGGAATGATCTTATCAACTCATTACCACATATCTTTAGGAAGCCAAAGGCATTTTATCTTATGTGGTGCTCATCTGAGCACATTCCCAAGCTTGCCCAGTAAACAGTGGGCACACTCTCTGGTCTGCAGGTGCTTCTGCAACAACTCGCCCGCCTGCCATAGAAAGAGTTGGTGGTGTCATAGAGACTAGAAAGAAGTGAGAAGGGAGTGCCTGCTTGTTGCGTAACTGAACACTTAGACAAAATTTAGTCATGCCTTTGTTCAGATGATTCATTCATATCTCCATGTTTATGAATATTTTGTTCCATTAGTAAAAACTGACATTTATATTCTTCATAAGAAAGTTTTCCCTTACTAATTTGAATATCTTGGCTGCTTGGGGAATCCTCCCCATTCTTTACAATCTCCTCTTTGGAAAAAAATGACTCCTTGGCATAACTTTTTTTTGATTGTCGAATTATTTGAATGATGTGTAACAAGAACTTCAAGATTTCACACGATGTTTTGTTTTCTTGACATTTTCCCTGGTTAAATAGCCACTTGGTCACTTTCAAACTGGATAAACTTGGGCAAATTACTTAACTTTTTTGAGTTACAGATGTCTCATCTGTTAATTGGTGTGAGTTTTAAATTAAGTACTCAAATATTTCAGGCAAATCATTCAGCATGTAATAGTCATTCTCATGTTCCCTCACCTTTTCCTTTATACCAGCACCCCTAAGTTCTCACAAAGTGAGAAAGAGGACATATCTCCTTTTTTTCAAAGCCTTGTTGTTCCCGCTAGTATTCTGTTCTCAGTAATTTCTAAGTTGTGATTGAATAAAGAATTGGGTAGAGGGAACTCAATCCAGAATGATATTCCTGGGCTCTCTGTCCCCATTGATAAACTTGAGGAAAATAAGCCAGGCATGCTTGGCTACTTCCCCCACAAGGGGAGACCTGCCCGGGCTCAGTGAATCCATGAATCCATGACAAAATCTGCCTAACTCTGGAGTTTAGTTTCATAAAGACCATTTCCCCAAAGATACAATCCATGTGCTTTATTTAGCCTTTAACAGTAACACAATTGATATTTTGCTCTCTATCTGATTACATTTTATTCTTGTTGTAAATTGTTCAGAATCAGGCAGGAAAGAATTGTGCTGTGTATTGATGCACCCACACAAAAATCCTCAAACTGAACTTTTCCCTGAATTTTAATGGTTATCTCTCCTGTTACTATAGAGTTTACTGTTAGCCTTTAATAATTAATGTTGATTACCCTTGCTGGTGTGGATTGAGCACCAGCCTGCAAACCAAAGGGTCATTGGTTCGGTTCCCAGTCAGGCTAAATGCCTGGGTGGCAGGCCAGGTCCCCAGTTGGGGGGTACACGAGAGGCAACCACACATTGATGTTTCTCTCCCTCTTTTTCTCTTTCCCTTCCCCTCTCTCTAAAAGTAAATAAATAAAATCTTTAAAAAAATACTTACTGTTGATCATATTTAAGTATAGTGATGTTCTTTTGGTACAAATTAGAGATTTTATTAGAGGTGATGTGGTATAGCTGATAAAGATGTGGGCTCTAGAGCTATACTGTCTTGCTTGAAATCCTGACTCCATCATTTCCATAAGTGTGACATTATTTAACCTCACTGAGTTTCAGTTTTCTTTTTTGTAAAATAGGGATAAAAATAATTGTAGCAATATAGTTTTTAGGAGAATTAAATAAGTTAATGCAAGCAAAGCCCTTGGAATATATGTCTGGCACATATCACTGTTCTTATTAGAAATGACTGCTGACTTTTTATCAAATGGCTTTTTAATAACTTGATATAGCCAAGTAATCTTCCTGCTTTATTATGTTCCTGTGGTAAATTGAAGACATAAGTTTCCTTATGTTAAACCATTTTTGTTTCCTGGAATCCTACATGGTCATGAAATGATTTTCTTCAAATAGACTGTTGGATCTGATTTGCAAAGATATTATTTACAGTTTTGTATCTATATTCAAAAATAAAGCTGGTCTATTATATTTTGTATTATCTTTATTGTGTTTAAAATTTAAGTTCTTCTTTTTCTGTAGTATAGAATAATTTAAACAAAATAGAAATGTCTGGTTAGTGTTTTGTTTTGTTTTGAGAGGGGGGAAAGAGAGGGAGAGAAACATCAATGTGTGAGAGAAACATTGATTGGTTGCCTCAGAGCATGCAAGAGGTCTGGCCCACAACTCAGGCATGCACCCTGAATGGGAATTGAACCGGCGCCATCCCACTGAGTCACGCCAGCTGGGACCAGGGATATACTCATATAATTTTTGTGTTTGTTTTCTAGGTCAGCACCATCTAAACTGACTCCTCAAGGTTTCTCCTGATAGTTCATTCCATTTTTAGAGCAATGTAAAAAATATCCTCTTCCATAAAATAGGTTTTAGAAATAGGTTAAGTGGTCTGCAAGGATCTTCTGGACTTCAACATTTTATGAGATGAGCGTTTGAAGAAAGGCAGTGTTGAGGAATGATTCAACGCATATGCTGAAGTACTCGGCTGCCTAGATTCCAGTCCCAGCTCTGTCACTCACTGCTATGTAACCTTCTTTTAACTCTCTGTGCTATAGTTTATTTTTTCATCTGTGAAAACCATGAAGTAAATGACATAGTACTTGTGAAAATTAAATGACAAAATCTAAAATAGTGCCTGACACATAGTACTTGTGAAAATTAAATGACAAAATCTAAAATAGTGTCTGAACTCTTTTGTATTAGCTACTTTCATTTCTTTTGTTTGTATCTGTGGTTATATTGCCTTATACATTTTTCATATACATATTTATTGATTTGAGAGAGAAAGTGAAACATTGATTTGTTGTTCCACTTATTGATGCATTCATTGGTTGTTTCTTGTATGTGCCCTGACCAGGGATCAAACCCACAACACTAGCATATCATGATGATGCTCTAGCTAACTGAACTACCTGGCCAGGGCCTCTTCATATTTTTGTTTGTTTTCTTCTTTTTTTTCTTAGTAATGTGTGACAGAGGATTTTATCATCCTTTTAAAATATTCTGTTTTATGGTTTTTCTTATTTCTATAATTTATCAGTTTCCCATTTCATTAATTTCAGGTTTTTCTTTATTAATGCCTTCTTTCTGCATTTTTCATTTATTTTGTTTTTTTAAAGATTTCTTTCTTTCTCTCTCTCTCTCTCTCCCCTTCCTTCCTCCCTCCCTCCCTCCCTCCCTCCCTCCTTTCTTTCTTTCTTTCTTTCTTTCTTTCTTTCTTTCTTTCTTTCTTTCTTTCTTTCTTTCTTTCTTGAGAAAGAAAGGGAAAGAAACATTGATGTGTGATGCTTGAAACAAACATCGATTGGTTGCCTTCCACATGCCCCCAACTGGGTCCAGGCCCAAAACCCAGGCTTGTGCCTGGACAGGGAATAGAACCAGTGTCATTTTAGTTTGTGTGAGAATGCCCAACTCACTGAGCCACACCAGTCAAGGCTGCTTTGTTTTTCTTTTGTCAAATTATTATTAAATACTGAAAATCTACCAAAGAATATTTTAACATATTTATGTTTGTCTATCAATCATATAATGATTAAAAATAAAGTGCAGCCTTAGCTGGTGTAGCTCAGTGGCTTGAGCACCGGCCTGAGAACCAAAGGGCTGCAGATTCGATTCCCAGTGTAGGGCACATGCCTGGGTTGCAGGCCAGGTCCCCAGCAGGGGGAGTGCAAAATGATGCCACACAGTGATATTTCTCTCCCTCTCTTTCTCTCTCAATAAATAAATAAGTAAGTAAGTAAGTAAATAAATAAATAAATAAAATCTTTATTAAAAAATGCAATCACTCACAATCCAACTAAGCAGACAATATTACTAATCCACTAGGAGCTGTTCTTGTTTTATCTTCTAGGGGTGCTTATTTATGTATTTTTGTTTTTAATTTGTACAGTTTTTTGTATGCTGAAAACTGCTATTTTGCTGGTTAAATGTGTAGCAAATATCTTTACATAGTTATGTATTTTAAAAATATAATTTATTTTCTTCATGATGTGTTGATTAACTGGAGGTCTTAACTTTAATAGCAGATGATTGATCGATCCTTTCCTTTCTGGTGTGATTTTTTAATTCATTTTAATTTATTTTTTAAAGTATATTTTATTGATTATGCTGTTACAGTAGTTCCATTTTTTCCCTCCCCTTTATTCCTCTCCTCCATGCAACCCCCTTCAACCATCATTCCCTACCTTAGTTTACGCACTTCCATGGGTCATACGTAATAAGTTCTTTGGCTTCTCCATTTCCTATATTATTCTTAACACCCCTGTCTATTTTGTCCCTACCATTTATGCTTCTTATTCCCTGTTCCTTTTCCCCCATTCTCCACCCACCCCTCCCCGCTGATAACCCACCATGTGATCTCCATTTCTGTTCCTGATTCTGATTCTGTTCCTGTTCTAGTTGTTTGCTTAGTTTGTTTTTGTTTTTGTTTTTTTAGGTTCAGTTGTTGATAGTTGTGAGTTTGTTGTCATTTTACTGTTCATAGTTTTGATCTTTTCCTTAGGTAAGTCCCTTTAACATTTCATATAATAAGGGCTTGGTGCTGATGAACTCCTTTAACTTGACTTCGTCTGGGAAGCACTTTATCTGCCCTTCCATTCTAAATGATAGCTTTCCTGGATAGAGTAATCTTGGATATAGGTCCTTGTCTTTCATGACTTTGAATACTTCTTTCCAGCCCCTTCTTGCCTGCAAGGTTTCTTTTGAGAAATCAGCTGATAGTCTCATGGGGACTCCTTTGCAGGTAACTATCTCCTCTTTAAAAAAAAAAAAAATTTATTTATTTTTAGAGAGAGCTTCGGGAGGGAGAAAGAGAGGGAGAGAAACATCAATGTGTGGTTGCCTCTCACATGCCCCCTACTGGGGACTGTACCTGCAACCCAGGCATTTGCCTGACTGGGAATCAAACCAGCAACCCTTTGGTTCACAGGCTGGTGCTCAAACCACTGAGCTGCATCAGCCACAGCACTATC